CAGGATTGAAGATAAATGTAACAGAATGGTCATTGCCACCCCTAAGAGTGTCTCTGTTATGTGACGCCACAGGGGAAGGCAGGGGTGAGTCCCTTGGTTCTTAAGGTGCCTCAATGATGGAGATCAAATACTCCCTCTGACGATTTCAGAAAAGTCGCTGAGCCTATGAAAAATGTGATCTTATGCCGATGGCAGGGTGGGCAAATGTGTTTTGCCCATGCCCTAAGTAGCTGTTAGATGTAGAAGCAAAGCAATCCTGCTCTGTTGTGCTTGACAGTTAGCAAACCACTTTCCAAATGAGTAATATATCTTACTAAATTTCTCCTGAGCAGTGGAAGGGTTGTTAATTACAGCCACAGGAGCAGTGAGAACTAAGGTATGTACAAGACAAATTTACTGAAATAGCAAATATTTTCCTTGATGTTAACCTCAGAGGTGAGGGCTGACCACTAGACCATCATGAAAATAGCACTGAGAGTCATATGCTGCCTAGTTATTTTTAGAAATGGCTTTCTTTGCTGTACAAGTCATGTGCACTGACAAAAGATTGTGCCTCTCCCCTGGCTTCCTGCATCCGATAGAGAAGTGCATCAGTGAAACTGACAGTGATTCAGCCTCCTGCCAGCACAGAAGCAGCCAGTGCCTGTGCCTGCATCCCTGAGATGGTAGCTGGAGAAAAATGATCTGCCCAAAGGCACCAGGAAAGGAATGTCAGAGGCCGATGTTTCTTTTCACCTAACGCTGGTGTGCCTGTGAAACTGAGTGAGTAGCATTCAGTGTTAGAGGTACTGGAGCACAGCTGTCACACTTTGGTAAATAAGGCTGAATTTTGGAACCTGAAAAATCAGAGCAATTCCTTTAAATGCAAGCTGTACAGCAGCGTGCAATTAACTTGTCTGTTCCATGTGAATACATTACATATTATTATAACTTTAATTTGACACGCTGATTGATGTGTGACAGTAGGCTTACGGTGTAAAAATGAGTAAGAATAACATCAAAGTAATATGCTAAGTTATGGAAAGTATATAATTTGAGTATGTATGTAATATATAATGGTAAGTACAAATTTTCTTTAGTACGTGGGGTACATGCTTTAGCTATAGTGAAAACCCTTGATCTGCACAGAAACTGCATTTATCAGTCCTCTCTTTCCTCAATTGTGTGCTTCATGAGTAAAGTCTTGGTATCAGATTTTCATCTGTGAGTTCGCCTGACTTGTAGTTGTACATCATCCCAGTTTCAAGGAAGTGGAAAGGAGAAGGAAGGAGGAGATGATGCACAGTCTTTTGCTATTTTATGTTTAATTTCCATGTATGGTCAGATTGGTGACCTAACTGTTGGATTATAACAATTTTCTGGAGGAAAACGCTATTGTACTTCGTTATCTTATTATATCTGTTTTAACCGCAGTAGTGTTTTGATGGAAATAAAGTGAGGAGAACCTGAAGAGGCGTTGTCCAGAGGTCCCAGCTCCGAGAGCAGATTCCCGGCCGTGCGGTGCCTGCTCCCTGTGCCTGCAGTGTGCAGGGGATGCGACGCGGAGACGGGCAGCGCCACGGCTCGGGGTCGGCAGGGCGCGGCAGTCCCGCTCCTGGGGGATATTTTAATGGTCCTGAACAACGAGACGGGGAGCAACCAGCAATATTTTACAGTACTTACTTTATAGAAGTACTTTCACACGTTCTTGTATTCTTTTTTTTCAGCCTCCGTTCTTCCCCTGGCACTACATTTGATATAGTAAAGCCTGGGCCAGCTTCTTTTCCCTTTTAGCCTGTGTTAAAATGCACGTGATTCTGGGGTTTGGGATAAAGTGTGGCAGTGAGGTGCTTCGTGCAGTGTCCACTGAGCTACCTTAGGTGAAACAAGTAGGACTTTTTTGTCATCTCCTCTTGTATTGCAGCAAATTCCATTTCTTTTTATAGTCTTTCTTCAGTTGAGCATTTTGAGAGCTACTTCTGGTTTGCTCTTCTAGACAGAGAAATAGGTGCACAGAATCAGTTATTAGGGGAGAATTTATTATAAAAGTTTCAAGCTATGGTCTCTTTCTCATTTTTTGTAAAATTTGTGGAAAATTTCACTACCTCTGTCACATTGAGTTATAGCTAGACAATCAATTCAAAGTTAAAGGGTGAGCTGGGGACACTCTGAAAATTCATCATTACATAAACCAAAGAAACCAGGCTAAGAATAGCCCTCAGTGCAGAAGGATCAAGCAGAGCCTCAATTATGTATGCATAAAATCTGTCTGTAAGAAACCCATTTTGTGACTACTTCATGGTGAATAATGGTAGAAGTAATAGGCAAAAACAGAAGGGATAATGGAAATAAAAAGAAAGATTGGTGTCACCTTTATTTTTGTATTCTTTCAAAACTGGACTGTTGTAACAGTCAAGGTTGTCAGTGTAGTTTTTTATGGCAGGTTGTCTTTCTTAAATAAATGAGCCATAAACTAACAATTACAGATGTAAAAAAAGAAACAAAAACTACATGAACTACACAAGCAATACAGTATTTTTTCTGCTATTAGTGTAAGCTGATCTGAATGCAGGCCACATACAGTATGTTTACTGTACCTCTAGCAATTTTTTCTCTTGAACGTATGTAACTCTGTTAATGTACACTGAAGCACAAGATCAAAACCCATACAAATGTAGTATTTCAGTATCCCAAATCTGTTCTGTCTTTCATGTGTGGTTATACATGTGTGTTTGTTTGAGAAATATTTTTCTAGGATAAAAATTCACAATTTGGAAGTGATGAAAATAGCAAATTTACATTTTGTCTCCATCAAAATAATGCAAACAGTGATAAAACAAATGTGCTCAATACTGAAAACATGAGCAACTGATTTTTACTGAGCAATATGAATTTAAGATTTTCTCTGGTAAAGATATTCTAAGCATTGATAACATGAAGACAATTAATCAAATGGTGTTAGAGCACTTGTATTCAAATGAATTGGCAAGGAACATATTGCCATGGGAAAGAGCAAACCATTCAGACTGTCTGCTGTCCTCTATACTGCAGTGAGACTAAAACTAAATTTTATTTCAAGGGTGATGTGTGTGTGTCTAATTTACCTATTATCTGCCTATCTCATGTTCATCATTGCAACAGAGAGGCAGGCATTACTGAGTACTTCAGAGTCAGTAAAATAAAAGAGTGTGTGACGTGCCACTCACATAATGACTTCTTCCAGTGACATGAAGTCTGTGGGTTTGAGCCACAGGCAATGACCCACAGTGCCATAACCAGAACTTGTACAATGCTTCTGTACCAGTCCTAGCCTGCTTATCCTGCTGCTCTGACAGGAATTTGACTGATTTCTCCCCCATGCCAGCAGTCTAGAATGTGTATTTGATATGCTCAGGGCAACATAACTACTATAGAAATGCACAGTTTCTTTGCTCTATGGAGTTCATGCATTGTCTTCATAGAGCTTTCTACACTGTGTAATAGAGGTGACTGTGCTGGAATGATGATGGACAGCAGACTGGTACATTAGGACAGGGATAGCTTTTCTGGAGCTAAAACAAGCTGTTAGTCACTGTCACTGTTGTGCAAGTGTGGCTAAGAGATAAATAGGGCTTCCACCACTTTGATGGATAGGGCTTCATAGCTCCTGCAATTTGGCAGAGGTGGTTGGGTAAACAGTATTACTATTCTTTCTTTTTTTTTCCCATTTTTGTTATCTAAGCACTGCTAGAAGAGTAACTGAGAGCAGGGCCCCTTTCTTCCGTGTTGTGGTAGAGAATCCTTGTGCCAGTGAAGTCTTTGAGATTTTAACCAAAGTAACTTTGGGTTTGTCCATCTTTTGCTGGGAAATAATAAGATGTACTAACTTCAGTGTATTACCAGAATGTATCCTTTAAGCAGCAGACTGTGTTTTAAAGAAAATCTGTCCCTTGTAAAAGAAGCTGGTTTGGTAAAAAAAAAAAAATGAGATGGAAACTTCAATTTTAGCTAAAAATGCAGCAGCAAATTTAGTGGAGGAGTTGAGACAGTTGCTGTTCCAGTAGTGACACTGAGTGGTAGCAAGCACTTGCTACAAATAGGATAATGGCAATGGTGGGAGATGGCTGTGTCTGTATTGAGATGTATTTGGTCCTGAAAATGACACGTTTTTGAATTGAGTCTTCTAAGCAGCTGTTAAATTAAAAAAAAAAAAAAAAAAAAAAAGCCTCTGACAAATCTCTTACTTAAAACTTGTTGGATTCATAACATTATAACTACTAAAAATATTACTCTTGAGACCCCTATGCACCATTTGTTATTTTGACACACTCTCTTAGCATCTCTGTATATATGTGTACGCTTTGTGTATGCTTTTCATTTATGCAGCTATCTGCTTGACATTTTGTCTTGCAGAATTTGGAATTTAATGGTGTTATAATGCCTTTGTTCAAATGCCCGAAAGACAATGCCCGAAATCAGTCTTTCAGAGCTGATTACTAACCTGAGGAAGAAAAAAAAGAAGCTAGATCTTGTTTAGGCTAGCCACAAGCATCTGGAAGGGTTACCTGCAGTTATCTCGGGTGAAGGAGTGGAGTTTCTGGTAAATGTAGCGGCTGTTGTTTTCTGGGGATTGGGTGAAGAAGCCTACTGGCGGACAGTGTGGAAACAGCGGATGAGGTTTCTAGGCTTTTCAGTTTCTCACGGATCTGAAGGCTTTGGTTAACCTCAATTTCCAAAACTGGCTGTTTTGTTTTTAGCGCCGCCCTTGAGAAAACTGCCATGCAGAGGAAGATGCCGACGCTTGGGCTTTATGACTCGTAGGAGTTCAGGCTCCGCAGACCGCCCCCTTTGCCCAGGACCGGGCTTACAGCGCCAGGAGCGCGGCCGCCGCCCCCGGCCCCGGGGCCACCGCGATCCGGCGGGGCCAGGGCGGCCGGGCGGGGCCGAGGGGAGGCGGGGCCGCCGGGCGGGGCGGAGCGGCGGGGCGCGGCGGGGCCGGCGCCGCTGTGGCCGAGCGGAGAGCGGCGCAGAGCGGTGGAGGCGGCGGCGGCGCTCCCGGAGAGCGCTCGGGGCGCGGCGCCGGGCCGGGCCCGCCATGCCGCCCGCCCGCAGGTCTGTCTGTCTGTCTGTCTGTCCGTCCGTCTGTGCGCGCCGGGCCGCGGGCCGGGCGGGGCTGCTCGGGCGCGGCCTTGTGCCCCGGCCGGGGGACGCGGAGCCCGGCGGGGCGGGGACGGGGCCGCGGCCGGCGCTGTGGGGGCAGAGGAGCGCTTCGGCCGGTCGCTGGTGCGCGGAGCCAGCCCGGCAGCGCGGCCCCGAGGCGCGGGCGGCCCCGCGGGCGCGCTGTGTCCGTGCGGGCGCGGCCGGGGGCGTGGGCGGCTCCGGGGACCTGCCCGCCCGCCCCGGGTGCTGCTCCTGGGCACCCGCGGCGTCCTCTGCTGCTCCCGCTACCCAGCCGGTGTAGCCGGGATGGCTTTCGCGGCTTCGAACCTCGTTTATTTCCTCCCTCTGAGGGTCTTGGATGAATTACTGGAATGTTCCAGGCTCTCTCTCTCTCTGTATTAATTTGTATAGCCTTTGGTTGTCGTGACTGCGAAGTGCTGCCGGGTTCCAAAGGTGTGTCAGTAATTGATTTTTGTGTCTTTAATCAGTGCAATGGACTTTCCTCTCTGTCCTTCATCATACACTGCTTCAGAGTTGGTTTACGGGTGGAGTGGCGTACTTGTATCTTGGGTGATGTGTGTGCAGCATCGTGGTGCTAAAGGATGTGGTAACTGTTCATCCCCTAGGTGATGAAATGAGATGATGAACACTTCGACTCAGTAACAGGCTTTTAGCATGTGTTTACTTTACATGCTACAATTGCCGTTCTCCCATTAAGTAGTCATACATTTCTTGTATTAATGCGCAGTGGTGGACTTTTAAGATGGGTAGGTGCCCATTAATCTATTATGGTTTGCTTAAAATGCTATGACCCAGCCTAAGGGCCTGTGTTTGTGTGATACTTAAAATGTGTGTTGATGAACACTGCCAGTCTATTGTATCAGCCAGTGTTTACACAGTATGGAAATAATAATTTCCTGATATTGTTCCATTCGACACTTACGTGTACACACACAGACTTTCAGAAAATTAATGGAGAGGGCGGTAGACAATGCCAAGAATATATGTATAAGTATGCGTAAATATATACTTTCTGAATGAAAATAACTTTATCAGGAATATATTTTTAAATGTAAACCATGATAAAAAAAATGTAAGTTGCAGTGCTTTTTAGACTGCCTTCTCTTTCATCTTTGTACCTGGAGAATGTCCATAAAGGTACGCAAAATCTTTTAAGCACCTAAGTAGTCAAGTAATGGTGATCCTTTGAAGAGTTGTATTGAAGTACATGCCTGTAGGCAAAATGCTGTCTGATGGCTTTCTGGGTTTTTTGGGTTTTTTTGGTTTTTTTGTTTGTTTGGTTTTTTTTTTTGTTTGTTTGTTTGGGGGTTTTTTGGGGTTTTTTGCTTTTTTTAAAGTAGTGGATCAAAATCTTGGGCTCGGAGGGAAATTCTGTGTCTTTTGCTTTGTTTTTTTTTTTTCCTTGTTGCATATTATGTTATGGGAGATAAACACTACTGGAATACCTGATTTGTCCAAGTTGTTTATGAGGCAGTCTCTGGATTTCAATCCTTGGCTCTGCCCAATGCCTTGTTCTTACTGCAGCAGTAGCCATGCTCACATTTGGACGCGTCACATCTGCTGCTGAAATGATAAGTGATTCCCTTTGGAGATGAAGTGAGTTAGAATTGATTGGAACAGTCCTTGTCTTATTAGGAATATGGCTTTGTTGCTTTGTGTATCCATGATTTTGAAAGAGAAGGTTGAACTTGGTTGGAGGCTGACTCTAGTAGATATTTGGCTACCTTACGGTCCTGACTTCAGGGGACAGCTGGCAAATCTCTTTTAAGTGTTAATGAATAAGCCCCTCTATTCAAACAGAAGTGAATTCCCTTGAGAGTGATTTGGATGGGAGGATAACGTGTCTTCAGAAAGGTAATTAGAGAAATTGTGGTGATCCTGTGGCTAGTTACTGCAGCCAGAGTGAGTCTGCAGTCACCCATTTGGGTGAGTGTTTCAAAGGTGAGAACATAGTGTGAGCCTCTGCAGCGGGATCTGACACCAGAAATTGCTGTTCTAGGCAACTGGAGCTGTTCACAAACAATAATTATGGAAATGAAGGACAAAGGGACTCAGTTTCCCTTTGCTATCCAGCAGGCGTGAAAGGAAAGTTGGAACATGACCAATGGTGAGAAAAGTGGTAAAGCTCTCTGTCCAGCACCTGCCTTGTGCCCTCTGTGCCTCAGCGGGTGCCCAGTTCAGCAGCAGGCAGTCGTGGTCCTTGGCTCATCTGGCAGAAGAAATTCCGCGTCATCACCCAAAAAGCAGCTGACTGATAAACCTTTTCTTTGTCATGATCAATAAGCCAAAATAGTCAAAGGCTTTATAGGTGTAGCTTTTGTTTTAGTGAGGTGGTGCTGGTGGAGTTACTGATGGTGGGGGTGGCTGCCTGCCACAAAGTTGATGGCTTCTCACTCCCTCTTGTGAGTGATCTGCACCCTCATGGCAGGAGATGTCCAAGTCATGTTGCTGCCACTTCTGCGCTGAGTTTGTCCTGGGGGTTAAGATTGCTTCCCCAAAAAAACAAAATGTAATGCTGCATTTGATGACTGAAGTCAGCAGTAAGCATGCTCACTCAAGTGACCTCCTTTGACTAGGAAAGAAAGCAGAGTAGGAGAAACAAGTCTTCAGTTCTTCTTCTCCTCCTTGTTTTCCTTTTAAAAATCTTATTCTGTTGTCATTTTTTCCTAGCCAGATTTATGAGTTAGTGACAAAATTCACAGCAGGCTAGAGGAATTATATTTCCCTCCCCAAACAAAATGTTTCAGATTTATATATTCAACACATACAGAGGAGTATTTTCTTTTTCTCCCTGCTTTTCTTTGCAAACCCTTCTATTGTAGGTGGAAATCTGTATGTCTTTGTTCCTGGTCAGAATGTCAGGTGGGTGTGAGTGGTTATGCTGGTGCTGGAAGTTGTATGTGTGTTGGGAACTGTTTGCTCAGTTTTGGGGTGGGCAGCACCCTGCAGCCTTGCATGGGACTGTGGCTGTGCATCTGCAGTGTCTGTGCAGAAGGTTGTTCTAAGTGCCCACAACCAGGCACAGTGCTTTGCTCTTGCACCTGCACTGCTCCAAGTCTCTGACCAAGCTGGGAGAAAGGGTACCAATATTTCAGCTCAGTGCCATATAGCATCCTCCTGACCTTCCTGTACTTACCTGAGAATTGATGACTTGTCATGGAACCACAAAGGTTCGAGCCTTTGAGAAGACTTCTGGATTAGACTTGAATTTGTCAATGTGTGGAGTACTCATCATAATCTCAGTAAGCCTTTCTGATTGCTGTTTATCATAAGAGGTGAACTGTGCTTTCAGTTGCATGCCTCAAATTCCTGGTGCTGTGTGGTCCAGTGCCCCTGTCAGAGCTCAGTGAGGCTGTTCCTGCTCAGTCATTCTGTGCCCTGTAGTACTCCTGAGCTGTAATTAAGCATTTGGCTTTCTCTCTCGGTATGCTATGTGTAGAGCCCACCAAGGTGCCATTTCTTCCATGTTTCTGCTTTTCTTATGGCTACTCTGTATGTTTTTCAAGGGGCTTTTTCAACATCCTACTTGAAATGTGGGTTGTATGAGTATCCATGTTTAAGCAATGGTCATATGAAACTGATTTACAGGAGCAGAAAGCATGCAAGTTTAGCAGGGAAATTATACTTGTTTATACAGGCAGGGTATGTGTTTATCTTTTGGTCACAGTGTCAAAATAGTACTGTTTATGTTTCATTTTATGTTCGCTTTAGGATTTAAAAGCTTTTCGTTAGAATTATTTCTGGAAAGGAAATTTTCTTATTCTCATCCATTAGTGACTGATTTTGGGATCTTCTCATAGCTTCTCAAGATAACTGAGGGCCATTTCTTCAGAATCTAAGATACTGCAGGCAAGGATTGGTTCCAGTGCACCAGATAGAGGAAATCACAGCTTTGTTTTAGAGAAGTTCACAGTGAGAGCTGTTGTTTCCTTGAACTCAGCCTTATCTTAAGAAAAGGTAATATATTCCCTGACTCATTTTTTTTCAAATAAATTTAACCTTTTCTTGCAGCACTCTCTCTGTCTCCTGTTACTCCAGTCTGTTTTTTTCTGCTTTCTGCCCCACATGCCATCTGTCAGTTTGTTTTCTTTTTAAGTATTCTAAGGTAATGCAGTGGATAAAAAAGGAGTATGAATATTCACAAAGCATTGCTGCCATTTTGATTCAGAGGGGAAGAAGTGTGGATGGCTTTCTGCCAGATCAGGTGATGCTGTGATTGCAGAAAATCCTTGGGTCTGCCTAGGTTGTTACTTTGGAGGAGATGCTGTGTGGAATAACTTGATTTTGTCAGTGGCTTGGCACTGCTTCTGTGCTGTGTCAGTGGGCTTTTGCTGTAGTTAACTGTCTCATGGTTAAGCAGTGCCTCAGTCTCGTGGCAAGGGCTTTATTTTACTCTCAACTTAAGTATCATTTTTAGAATGCTTTTTAAGCAGCTGTAGTGATGCCAAAGACATGGGTACTTGTGATAAAGCTGGGTTTAATCTGTATGCAGATTTTTGGTAGCTGCAGCAAACTCAACAAAACTTCGTAGGCCTGAGAGTGTCTTGAGTTCTTCTTTCATGCTTTCTCACAAAGGTTCAGATAATTCAGGGAAGCACTGAAGTGTGTAATAGTTTTAGACATGAAGATTTTTGCATGATATTTAGAATTTATATTAAAAATAAATTCTTCTCTTATATAAGCAGTGTTGGACATTTTGTAGTCCCTTTTTCCATCCTGGTTGCTGAGCAGGCCTTTTGTAGTGAAGCTGCTGAAGACTCCTAAAGGTAGGAGCTGTGGTAATCCGTGATATAAAATCTGTTCTGTACCTTCTGTCCCAACTCCAAAAACTCCTGAAATGCAGGTATTGTGTGGTAGCTATGTTGTGTAAGCAGTAATATGTTGGTGACAATAGGTGAAGAACCAAGGAGATGAAACTTTTACTTTGTTAC